TGTTTTTTTATTTTTCTCTCTTTTTATTTAATTCAAAATTAATAAAAAACACAATAAATACAGAACATAAACATAATGGGAAAAAAACATTTGAATGAAAAGGAGCAGACAGAAGAAAAATCGTATTTCTGCCCCTTTTTACAAAAGAAAATTATCCACATACACAATATAACCTCAGAAGACCTCTTATGATGAATTAAATAAATGGAAACCGTGTTCCCTCGCCCGGACGTGGGTCACCAGGGCCCCCCTCTGGAGGTGGGGCACGTTGGGTAGGCGGGGCTTTCACCCATGGAGCCCAGCCGGGCACAGCCCGAAGAGGAAAGGTGGGTCCCCCTTCCCATGGGCTCACCACTCGTGGGAGGGGCCGAAGGGGTCAGGTGCAGTGTGTGACGGGTGGTAGTCGAGGGCGGGGACCTTGGCGGTCTGATCCTCGGCTACAGAAGCTGGATCTTGGCACATGGAGTGTCACCTCTCTGGTGGGGAAGGAGTCTTGAGTTGGTGTGTGAGGTCGAGAGGTTCCGACTAGTTATAGTCGGACTCACCTCAACGCATGGCTCTGGCTCTGGAACCAGTTTCCTTGAGAGGGGTTGGACTTTCTACCACTCTGGAGTTGCTCCCACTGAGAGGCACCGAGCAGGGGTGGGCACACTAGTTGCCCCCCATCTTGGTGCCTGTACGTTGGGGTTTACCCCAGTGAATGAGAGGGTAGCCTCCCTCCGCCTACGTGTGGGGGGATGGGTTCTGACTGGTCTGTGCTTATGCACCAAACTACAGTTCAGACTACCCACCCTTTTTGGAGACCTTGGAGGGGGTGCTGGAAAGCGCTCCTTCAGGTGACTCCCTCGTTCTGCTGGAGGACTTTAACGCTCACGTGGGCAACGACAGTGAGACCTGGAGAGGTGTGGTTGGGAGAAAAGTCCCCCTGATCTGAAATCGAGTGGTGTTTTGTTATTGGACTTCTGTGCCAGTCATGGATTGTCCATAATGAACACCATGTTCAGACATGAAGGTGTCCATATGTGCTCTTGGCACCAGGATACCTTAGGCCGCAGCTCGATGATCGACTTTGTTGTTGTTTCATCTGACCTGCGGCCGCATGTCTTGGACACTCGGGTGAAGAGAGGGGCGGAGCTGTCAACTGACCACCACCTGGTGGTGAGTTGGCTCAGATGGTGGGGGAAGATGCCGGTCAAATCAGGAGGGCCCAAACTTATCACGCGGGTCTGCTGGGAACATCTGGCAGAGTCTCCTGTCAGAAGGAGCTTCAATTCCCACCTCCGACAGAACTTCCAAAATGTTCCGGGGGAGGCGGGGGACATAGAGTCTGAATGGACCCTGTTCCGTGCCTCCATTGTTGAGGCGGCCGACCGGAGCTGTGGTCGCAGGATCGTCTGTGCCTGTCGTGGTGGCAACCCCTGAACCCGCTGGGGGACACCGGCGGTTAGGGATGCTGTCAAGCTGAAGAAAGAGTCCTATCAGGTCTTTTTGGCCTGTGGGACTCCAGAGACAGCTGACGGGTACTGGCAGTCCAAGCGGAACGCGGCTCGGGTGGTCGCCGAGGCAAAAATCCGGGCAGTGCGCTACCAACACTATCTATAGTGGGGACGGTGTGCTGTTGACCTCTACTCAGGACGTTGTGGATCGGTGGGCAGAATACTTCGAGGATTTCCTCAATCCCACTGACACGTCTTCCAGTGTGGAAGCAGAGTCTGGGGACGTTGGGTTGGCCTCTCAAATCTCTGGTGCGGAGGTCACTGAGGTGGTTAAAAAGCTCCTCTGTGGCAAGGCTCCAGGGGTGGATGAGATCCACCCGGAGTTCCTTAAGGCTCTGGATGTTGTGGGGCTGTGTTGGCTGACGCAGCTCTGCAATATCGAATGGACATCGGGGGCAGTCCTACTGGACTGGCAGACCGGGGTGGTGGTCCCCTTATTTAAAAAGGGGGACTGCAGGGTGTGTTCCAACTACAGGGGGATCCCACTCCTGAGCCTCCCTGGTAAGGTCTATTCAGGGGTTCTGGAGAGGAGGGTCCGTCGGATTGTTGAACCTCAGATTCAGGAGGAGCAATGTAGTTTTGGTCCTGGCCGTGGAACACTGAACCAGCTCTATACCCTTAGGGGGATCCTGGAGGGTGCGTGGGAATTTGCCCAACCAGTCTACATGTGTTTTGTGGATTTGGAGAAGGCGTTTGACCGCGTACCTCGTGGGGCCCTGTAAGGGGTACTCCGGGAGTATGGGGTACCAGGCCCTCTGATACGGGCTGTTAGGTGTGACCGGCATCAGAGCTTGGTCCGCGTTGCCGGCAGTAAGTCGGGCTCGTTCCCAGTGAGAGTTGGACTCCGCCAAGGCTGCCCTTTGTCACCGATTCTGTTCATAACCCTTTTGGACAGGATTTCTAGGTGCAGCCAAGGTGTGGAGGGCATCCGTTTTGGTGGCCTGAGGATCAGGTCTCTGCTTGTTGCAGATGATGTGGTCCTGTTGGTTTCATCAGAACGTGATCTTCAGCTTTCGCTGGAGCGGTTCGCAGCCGAGTGTGAAGCAGCTGGGATGAGAATCAGCTCCTCTAAATCCGAGACCATGGTCTTGATTCGGAAAAGGGCAGAATGCCTTCTCCGGGTCAGGGACGAGGTCCTGCCCCAAGTGGAGGAGTTTAAGTATCTTAGGGTCTTGTTCACCAGTGAGGGAAAACTGGAGCGTGAGATCGATAGGTGGATTGGTGCTGTATCTGCAGTGATGTGGGCGTTGTACCGGTCTGTCGTGGTGAAGAGAGAGCTGAGTCAGAAGGCGAAGCTCTCGATTTACCGGTCCATCTACGTTCCTACCCTCACCTATGGTCATGAGCTTTGGGTAGTGACCGAAAGAACGAGATCGCTGATACAAGCGTCCGAAATGAGTTTTCTCCGAAGAGTGTCTGGGCTCTCCCTTAGAGATAGAGTGAGAAGCTTGGTCATCCGGGAGGGGCTCGGAGTAGACCCGCTGCTCCTCCACATCTGAGGAGCCAGCTGAGGTGGCTCGGGCATCTGGTCAGGATGCCTCCTGGACGCCTCCCTGGTGAGGTTTTCCGGGCACGTCCAACCGGGAGGAGACCTAAAGGTAGACCCAGGACACGCTGGAGGGACTATGTCTCTCACCTGGCCAGGGAACACATTGGGATTCCCCCGGAGGAGCTGGCCCAAGTGGCTGGGGAGAGGGAAGTCTGGGCCTCTCGCCTTAGGCTACTGCCCCCGCGACCCGACTCTTGATAAGCGGATGAGATGGATGGATGGATGGATGGATGGATGGATGGAATATAACCTCAGTCCCTTTCTACTTTTTGTATATAATCACTGACATTTTAATTTACCTTTTTATAATTACTTAATACATTTGAGTTATAGATTTTTCAATTATAGCAAGTGTAGTTGATTCTTTAATTTCTCTGTTAAGGGCGTTCCACAATCTTACACCATTTACAGAAATATCACATTCCTTCATTTTGGTTCTGAATTTAGGTTTTTAAAGACATCAGTCCCATTTAACACGTGCCCACTTACTCTCTTATGAAACATTTTCTGAATATTAGTTGGTAAATTACTCGTATTCGCTCTTTACATTATTTGCAATATTTTCCACTCTACCAAGTCAGGAGATGTCAGTATTTTATATCCAATGAATAATGGATTAGAGTGATTTTTGAGTCTGTGGATGGTTTAGACCTGGTTTTAGACATAAGTTAGATGTTTATTCATCACCTACACTTCTTCAATCCAGCAGATGGACAAACCTAAAGGACTCTTCCGTGACATAGTCACTCAGGGGGTGACGCTGGGTCTGCTACCTTCACTCAGGCCGAGGGACATCTTAGAGGCAACCCAACATGCATGTTTTTGATCTGTGGGAGGAAGCCCTCACTTGCATAAGGAAAGCAGTTGCATCTGCAGCTTTTAACAGAGCTACAACCTTCAGCCTGATTCTAAGTCTCATCCAATCAAAAAGTGCAATCTGTGACCAACGTGGATCCTTAAGCGGCTCCGGTCAGATTTGACAAAGAAGTGAGACCCTGTGGGAAAATTATGACCCTGATGGTGAACAGCCTCAGTTTGGAGAAACTGACCTGGACTGATAAGCTAACAGCTAGTTGCAGCAGGACAGATTTGGCGCTTTCTTAAAACAACTCAGAGTTGTGGTACAGAGTTTAAGTGAACCCTGTTTTATTTATTATTGTAGATTTTGTGTTGAGAGTTTTATCGTAGAAAACACAAATTGTGGACATGAAATCAAACTTCCTGCACAGCTGTGTTCAATTTCAGTAGCCCAGAGTTCCAGAGGCAAACCTTTATCTCTGCTCATCATCAGGTGCCATAAACACAAGGAATATTTATTATTATTATTGTTATTAGTAGTTGTAATAGTAGTAGTAGTATTGTTATATATATCATCTAAAACATGTGCTACAGAAACCAGCAGCAGTAGGTAGTTCTGTAATTGGAACTAAGAAAAAGGCTTTTGGATCACGGGAGGATCTCCAGCCTGCATCATATAAACCTTCAGAGGTCCAACCGTGGGTCGGCTCTGACAGCAGAAGTGGGACCAATCCCTCGTGTTTTATGTAAACCATCATAATCAGCTGACCTAATGAAATATGTTCCGGATTTACCGTCCGTTAAACTCAACTCTAAACCCCTGTCAGGAGGTTTCTACTCAGATTCATCTTTAAGCAAATGGAAATAAATGTTTTAGTGTTTGCAGCAAAAGAAATCCTGAAAACTGTTTTTATTAAAGATTGTTATCTACTGATGAAGGAAACATTCTGAACTATTGGATTGCTTACTGATCTAAATAAGTTGTTGTGCTCTGACTTCATGTTTCCTACTTGCTTCCCACATTTCTTTTGAATTTTCTGTCTCCCTGTGATTCATTCCAGTTGAAGAACAGCCTGAGGAACGACCTGTGTCTGGATCAGGGACCTGACACGGACAACGTGCCCATCATGTACCTCTGTCACGGGATGACACCTCAGGTCAGTGAGTTTCCATTCTCATCTCCTCTGTCTGATGTAACGGCAATAAACTCTGATCACACAGGAAGAGGCGCCAGATAATTCCACTCCTTCACCCTTTCATAATCTAAAACGAGGGAGTTAAGCAGAGCAACCATCACATAAATGTGCATTAGAGGTTTGTGTGAGATCCTTTTATTCTCGGTGTGTGAAGGAGCTTTATTTGTGCTACAAATTGGGGCAAAGTCTCCATGTTTAATTGTGGTATAGGAAGGTTTTTGGTGTTGGCCAGCTGCGAAGGAACACAGGAGGATCGTTCAAACTGGAATGTGGAAAAATCCCTGAGATCTGAGCGTTAGCTGCTTTAAAAAGCTATTTGAGATCATTTTAGGAACATTTTCTTGCTTCAGTGGTCACAGTTTTGATTGGAATGAAGGTAAATATTGTATCTATTTGAGAATGTTTAAAAAATGCCATCATCATCCCCTCTTCCTGTCTTAAGCTGAATTTATGCTTCTCCATCAGCTCCAACAGGGAGACACACGCACGCACGGAGACGTTTAGCCCTCATGCTTCTCCGTCTCCTGGGGAGTGTTGCAAAGCAATTCCCCGCCAGGACAGCAGAGGGCGTAGCGCTGTTCTGTGGTATCCTGTCATGTATCCGGTCCAAGATAGTGTGTTTATATTGTGTTTTTTGAATTTAAGAGACTTTTTAACACAGACAAATTTATCTCTCATCCTCCTCCACCTCTTCATGCGCTCGCCACCTCTAAACCCACGTTTCCTGTCATTTCCGTCCACAAATAAAACGCTTGCTGCGCATCTTTTCACTCCTGCAGTCACGGGGGAATTAAACGTTCATATTTTTAGAGTTTTTTCACGAGGTATTCTTCAAGCTTCTCTGTGTCTGCCGCTAGTTATCCTCAACTCTCTTTATGTTTTTGAGGGCGCAATGGTGGCGGTGTAGATGACAGCGGCGTCCTGACCAATCACAAGCTTGCATTATCCGTCTCGATGGACGGATGTTTAGAAAAGAGAGCTAGACTCCGTCCGTCCTTGTGGGGCTCTCCAGCAGGCCTGCAAGGGTGGATAATGGCGTTGCGTGTCTCCACGCTGACGCAGACGCATGACTCAGGCTTTACGTGTGCTTGTTTTGCTATTAGTAGACTTTTGTCACATATCACTATCCACCCACTTCTGAGCTTAAATTATCAGCTGGAGCATCAGGATTAGTACTTTCATCAGAAACCTGCCATCTCCCACCTCGATTACTGCAACGCCCTTCTAACTGGTCTTCCAGGCTGTACTGTGAGATCTCTTCAAATGGTCCAGAACGCAGCGGTGCGTCTGGTCTTCAATTAGCCAAAAAGAGCACACGTCACCCCTCTGCTCATTGAGCTCCACTGGCTACCGCTAGCAGCACGCATCAAATTCAAATTGCTAACACTAGCATACAAAGTCCGAGATGGTACGGCTCCCATCTACCTGAATCCTCTTGCAAAGGCTTACGTCTCGGCCCGGCCGCTCCGGTCATCACAGGATCGTCGGCTAGCAGTGCCTACACCACGCTCAGGACAATCCAGACTCTTCTCATGCATCGTTCCACAAATGTGGAATGACCTTCCAAGCACTACCAGAACTGGGGCTTCCTTTTCAATTTTCAAGAAACTCCTGAACACCCTGCTCTTCAGAGAGCATCTTCTAAACTAGCACCCTCCCTGCACCCGTCCCCCCTCTCTACTGTCCACCCCTTGTTCCCTCCTCTCCATGATTGATGTCAAGTTGTTGTTGTTGTTGTTGTTGTTAGCCTCAAGGGCAACATGCAGATTATCACTTGTAAGTCGCTTTGGACAAAAGCATCTGCTAAATACATCAACATAAACATAAACATATCCAGTTCTAGACATGTCTACTGCCCCCTGGTGGAGGGTCTACAGGTGGCAAGGACGGGTTTTCTTTAAAATCAAAAACATGTTTTTTGACCAAGGTCCTAATGGGTCTCCTTTAACATCATTGTGTAAAAGATACAGTTATTAAAAATAAATTATTATTATTTTTATAATTATTATTACTATTTATGAAGTTTCCTGGGAACTTCGGCTTCACATTTGTAACTCGTTAACGGGAAACTGGCGTTTGTCGTTAGTGAAAGGCTGTTCTGGATTTTGTCCTGCTTGATTCAACTTGAATAATTTGGCTCATTTTCCCTGCAGACACACACGTTTTGTCTGTGATCCAATTAAACTTTGCATCTTGGAGCTATTTCTGATAACTCCTTTTGATTCTATTTATTGAGTTTCAGAGGATTTCTCACTTCCCACACACACTAGTTCGTTGGCTGGACTTCCTGGTGCCACTCATCCGTTTTCATGACAACAGGAACCACTTCTTCCAAGTGTTGTTTTCTACAGCTTGCAGGCGTTGTGGTGTGCATCTTTCTGGAATATGAAGACATTGCCAGGATATAAACAGGAGCAGTCCATAAAAAGGGTCCAGTCAGCCACGAACGCAAGTGAAATCCACAATATTTGAGGCTCAATCATCAGTTTAGTCCCAAATGACGATTAAATAAAGATTTCAGGTAATATTTAGAGTGTCTGTACACTGAAGCAAGAAAATATTCTTTATATCTAAAGTCTAAATGACCTGATGCTGAAATACGACTTTTAATTAATTTTTTTCCACCTGAAGCAAAACATCACAGCTTCTCCTAAATCGCAGCTACATTTTAGCTTCCTGTTACCAACACTTATCTGCAGAAACATCTTTGGCAGCTTAAACTTCTTTTTTAAATCGTTATGTGGTTTTACGTCTCATTTATTATGGATGCACCTCAGAAGGCAGCAGAACAAAAGGAGAACATCACATCGGTTCATCATCACGCCGTTAACTGGCTCCTCCGCCGAGGTCATCCGCTGGTTTGTGGAACAAGAACACAAAATAGTGGCTGAAAACCAGATTAATGAGCTGTGTGTGTGCTCGGTGATCGGTCACAGTAGGCTCTCTTTGTTTAAAACAGATGTTGACCTCTGCAGCTTTAAATGATCCGTTCTAGAGAGGATTCTGCTGTTTCAGGTGTTGATCAGGTAAAAAAGTTTTGGAGCTTCGGTGCCTCTGAGGCGATCGTTTCTAGCTGTGGAAGGTTATAATTTATGGCAATAAAAATGCCACATAATGAGAGAGGAGAGCACAGATCTGCAGTAAAAGGGCCGATGCATCACCGCGATGTAAAGAGGCTGCTGCGCTTCTGCAATTAAACTTTTTAGCCTTTGCAGCTGAAATAGCAGAAAAGTTGTGATGGAGTCACCGACGGGGGGTGCTGCACTCGTGGCCTGCTTAATGGAGATTTCAGGCAAAAGCAATTTAAAAATGGTCATTACTTTTATGGCTTTGAAACTTCCTCATGAAATAAAAGCGTACATTTAGCTGCCAGTTTCTAGAGTGGGGAATATTCAGATCTAAACTCCTGCGCGCGGCTGGGCCGGCTGCCTTCTGATCAGCTGTCTGCAAACGTTAAAAGCCTCGACTTGTTTGTCGGTGAAGTTAATAGCTTTGACCGCCGGTGACATCACTGGCGTCTCTCATTTTACCTCCAGTATCACCCCCCCCCCCCCCCCCTCTGAGACAGCATTGTTGAATCAGTGCATTTTTTTTTTAATCTGCCTATTATTTATTTTCTTATTTGAGCTGAAGAGACTGAACCGGCTTATGCAAATGATCTGTTTTCATCACAGTAGGCAGCCTGGTGGATTTGCTTTGTTTGCTGCCACACAGACTTCTATTCTGGGAAATGTTTTTATGTCCACAACATGAGTTTGCATCCGGATAATCGGGACTTGGACAGGAAGTTAGGAGGTAAATGTATTCAGCCTGTGGCAGGTAGAAGTCCCAGTCTGCTCTCCTCGAGCTGAACCCGATCGGCCAGCCTCCCTCTCCTCCTCCAGGATGATGAATGATGCAGCTGTGTTCATCCGACTGCTGAGATGTTCATCTGTTTTCACAAAGTACCCAAAAGTAACCCAACAGACTTATTATTAGTTTTATTAACAAAAGTAAACTTTTTTGGTAAATCTAAACCATCCATCATTTTCATCCGCTTATCCGGAGTCGGGTCATGGGGGCCTAAGTGGAGAGGCCCAGACTTCCCTCTCCTCAGCCACTTGGGCCAGCTCCTCCGGGGGAATCCCAAGGCGTTCCCTGGTCAGGTGAGAGACATAGTCCCTCCAGCGTGTCCTGGGTCTACCTTTAGGTCTCCTCCCAGTTGGACGTGCCCGGAAAACCTCACCAGGGAGGCGTCCAGGAGGCATCCTGACCAGATGCCCGAGCCACCTCAACTGGCTCCTGTCGATCTAAACCAAAACCTTCAAAATTGAAAAAGTTTGAGTTTCTGTCTATTTTATGGGCCATTATGATGACGTGCACACACATTCTGTTTGTTGCATCCAGCCTGGAGACACGAGAGCTTCTTCAGATGCCGTTCTGATATTTGGAGTTAAGCGAAAAATTTCAATCCTGCTTTCAGACAGATTTCCGCTTACGCAAATGCACGAGTGACTTAGAGTCGTAATTTGCACCCTGAACGGCGTCACATCTCCAGATAGCGGGGATTTTTAAAGCCTTTTCAGGGATAAGTCAAGATAGCATCAGAATATTTTATGCATAAGAGAATCAGCGAGAGGAGCTAATCACTTTATGGACTCCAGATATTTCAGCTTTTGAATTAGAGGAGCGTGCACATGCATAACGATCCCAATAAAATAATTTGGATGTTATTTTCTGTCCTGTACCTGCAGAGGTAATTATAGACGGATTATGGCTGTTGGAGTAAAATGGTTCGTTCACACATTTTTAAATAAGCTGATTCTTTTTGTTTCAGCCTAATGAAATGTTCCGCTTCAGTGAAAAACGTGACTTTGACTGAGGCACGGCGAAACAAAACCAACCCTATTCCATTATGAAACACTTCTATTGATGTAGGCTCATTGCTTCGTGTCAAAGTGAGGCCTTGTTCAGTTTGAGGG